ATTAATTTATTTATTTATTTTGGCAGAACTGGTGGGGATTGAACTCTTTGTCCTTGCCAGGCAAGCGCTTATTCTACTGAGCCATCTCCCCAGCCCCAAAATGCTTCTTTTAAAAAAAAGTTCCTTCCACAACAATGTTCGTGAAGAAGACTGGAAGGACTGCTCTGCCAAAAAAAATAGGTACCACGACTTACTTGCTTTGTTACAGGTTGATTTGCACAACTGAGCGTTTAATTCTACTACACTGAAATAGATGACACTGATATTTGCACATTATAAATACAACAATATCTCTTAAAGAACATAGAAGTATCATTGCTTTTAAGTTCTCAAAATTAAATACAAAGTCAATTTTACATGTCTCTGAAAAGCAACTATATCAATTCAACCTAGACATCTGTGAAAACTTTATCTTGAAATTTAAAACCTTAAGTGAAAAATATTATAAAGATTCCTATTTAATAATGCTCTGACAAAACACAATAAAACTTCATCATTTTTCTGGTCATTTTAATGAGATCCAGAAAATACATAGTTTTACTAATTGTACCATTTGCTATTAGTTTTTATTTTTTGCTTTGTGGAGCTATATTGCTTTCATTTTCTGGCTTGCTGTTCTTTCCTGCATGCCCACTAGAGATTCTCATATTTTTTCATTTCTTTATTGCTTTTGCCTAAGGCTTCATACTCTATTGGTACATTTTTTTGGGAAATGTAGATATTCTTGATCCAGTGTTTTTAAATAACTCTACAGCTGACCAAGGCTCTCATTATTAACAAACACCTCTGTTTCTGGCAGGGGAAATGCTCTGAGCACAGGTGGCTGTTTTACAGATCTCCGGTGGGAGGCTGCACTGTACTGTCACTCACAACAGATGCCAAGCAAGACCTTCTCTACCAGGAGCTAAAAATACATATCGAATACCAAAATTAAAATCTTACTCATAAAAATGATTTACTATTATTATGTTTTTTTGGTTACGCAGTTTTTACTGTGTAATTTATTTTTTGTAACACAATAAGAATGAATCGACTTTTGTTGAACAACTCACACACACAATATGTTCCTTATTAGAACTGCTTACTTACTACTGAACTTTCCTCATTTATGTCTGTGACCCAGATCTACTTTCACAGTACCATCAGAAAAACCAAGTGATTAATTTAAGTAAAATTAAATGTTGAATTAAACTTAAATGAAATAGCTACATCTATAAAAGAGAAGAAAATTGAAGCTGCATAAAATACTGACAAATAAACCAATTTATCATAGCATAGTTGTCAAGGGGCAGAATTACTGAATAAATTCAGAATGCCATTGTCAAAATTATCTTGATCAATATTTGCAAAGCACTGATTTAATTTTCTTCTGAGTTATGATGAGTTTATATATATATATATGTATATATATATATATATATTCAGACATACTTGCTTAGATATATATATATATATATATATATATATATATATATATATAGACAAATACTTGCTTAGTGATATTTTCATGTGAGGGTATTTTCTTCTTTACTAATTAACAAAATAATATCATTTTTCATGGACTCTGTTTTAAGATAAATTCTTATTTATTTATGTATGTATTTAGTACAGGGTCTACAGGGTCTGCAGGGTCTCACTATGTAGACTGGACTTGTTGTGATTCTCCTTTTTTCAGCCTCCCAAGCTCTGGGATTACACACACACACCACCACGCCCAGTGCCAATCACTGTCTCAGTGCACTCTGGCGGTGGGGCTGGCACAAACGCCAGGGATCAAACCCTGGCTGCTGCACTCTGCCTAAGCAGGCTCTTCAGTCCACTGAGCTATTTGGCTAGCCCTTTATGATAAATTCTTATCTCCTGTACATCTCAGTCTTTGTTTCTTTCTTTTTATATTGCATATGTTTCCACAGTCTTAATATTATCACTAATTGATTATTTTATTTTATTTATGTCATTGTCGTTTGTAAGTCAAAAGAACCTGCTTAGCCAAAAGAACTAATCACAAAACTTAGATGAGATTATTGGATTGGGTTGCAACTCATTCCTACCTAACAAGCTTTGATAACCATTGTTGTCATTGATTTTTCTGGGCTAGAAGTGACCCAGAGGTCTCCTTCTGCAGTCAGCAAACAACTTTCTGGGGGAGAAAAAGTCTGGATTGCTGCGAATGGAGTTCAATTGTCCAGCAAGGTTTAGGATTCAATAATAGACCACAGAAGAATGAGTCATGCAAACACTTCTCTTTTCTAGATACGTATTCTAGTGAGACACATAGACCACAGTGTTCTGAGGAAGGAAAGATAAATACTGGAAGACACATGTGTTTGTCTTTCTGACATACTGCATTGGACAGAAGCCCTGACTGATGAGGCATTACTATAAAGAAATTCATAGCTTGAGTAGGTATAACATTTACAGATCATTTAATGCAAAGAGTTATGTCATATTTCACATACACATGAATATAAATATATGTAAATGTTACGGTTTGTGTCTAAGTGCCCCCCCAAAAAGCCTCATGCAGTCTTGGGGTGGCTTCTGGAATTTGTGATTGATTTTTGTTGGTGTGGATGCTGCCTGCCCTGAGGCAGGTAATTTGCATTACAATGTAATGTGGGAAGAGAAGCCAGCTGCTTGAGCTGCTGCTACCCCTCCCTTGCGCTCTTGCTCTTTGCTGCCACCATGAAAGGTTGCTTTCTGCTATGTGATGCTCTGCCTCAGACCCAGCTGAATATGGACTGAAACCTCCAGTAACTGTGAGCTAAATAAACCTTTCCTTTCTACATTTTGGGTGTTGGGTATTTGTCCCAGCAATGAGAGAAGAGTAACTAAGACAGTAAATATATATGTATATATAAATATCTATCTCCATTCATGTGTACATACACATATACACATACATTAAATGTTTGAAATTATATATATATGTCCATATATATGTAAATATATATGTCCATATATATGTAAATATATACATTTATGTTATATGTATATATCAAGGTAAAAGGTTTTGCATACTAGCAAGTGTCACCACTAAACTCCTTCACTGTACAACTTTGCACTGGCTGGCTCTATCAAATTATTAATGTTTAATTTTTTTAATTAAACTTTGTTGCTTTTCCACATCTTGCCAGCCTGTTTCTTTGCTGTTCTCTGATATGATTTTGGTAGAGTATGGCAGTACTTCGGTACAGGGCCAGTTACTCTCCTTTTAACTTGCAATTTGTCCCACTTTCGCAATCAACAGTCAAGGTTCTTCACAAAACAGAGAAATGCAAGTAAAAATTTTTCAGAAATATGTTGTGGATTCCTGCTTTAACAACCACAAGTGATGCTCACAGAGACAGAAAGGAATAAAGAAAATATTTAAGATGAAGGAGACCAGTGCCTCTTTTGGTGGGACATGTACTATCACAAAGAAGAATAAATACATGGGGTGCGACCATCAAAATTATGATGTAAAATTTGAAATCCTGTTTATTTTTATGTTTTTTAATTTATCTCCAAAAGTTATGATGAGATGTATAATTTCTTTTTACCTGGACTCCCCAAGTGGTACCCAGTAGTAAAATTCGCTTTAAATCCCCTTCCAGCTAGTGATGTGTCAGTGATAAAAAGCACAGTCATCCTGTTGGTGGTAGAGAACACATCCTTCACTGGACCAGGTCCTGTGTACACAGCTGTTTCAGTGGAGAACAAGATAGTGATTTCTTTGCAACTAGGACATACCCTTTGTTTCCCATCTGTCTCCTTCTCCTCCTTCTCTTTGTCCTCCTCCTCCTCCTCCTCCTCCCCCTTCTCCTAAATGTATTTAGTACAGGGTCTACAAGGTTTCACCACACAGATCGGACTCCTAGTGATTATCCTAATTTTCAGTCTCTCAAGTTCTGGGATTACAGGCATGCACCACCATGCCCCGTCTCAGTTGCTGTCACAGAACACCCTGGCGGTGGGGCTGGCACGGCATACCGGGGATCAAACCCCGGTCCCTGCGCCTGCGTAAGCAGGTGCTTTGATCCACTGATCTATCTGGCTGGCCCTTCTGTCTGTCTTCTAGATGAAGTGCTGCAGTGTGGATCATTCGTGAAGGAGCTATATGTCACTAATTTGTAGATCCTTTTATATCTTCCAATGCTGCTTCAATAAAGATACCTTCTGTATTAATTTTTAAAATATCACTTGAAGTTCTGCAGCTGTATAGCTTGATTATACATTCTTCATAGTATTATCTGGGTTAGTAGATATTTTCCTCTTTTGAGCAGTAAAGGTTATAAAGCAATGAAGGCTATAGTCCCCTTTAGCGAATGTTTGTCCAAATTAATTTTATAGTATTGGTAAATTGAATCATAAATCCAAATCTGAAGAATGAATTTACCACAGATAATATAAACTAAGCTGTTGGTTTTCAAACTATTTCCCGCTAATCCCTAGACTTTAGAGATTTCGTAAACATACATTACTCAACAATGCTTCAGCTTATTAGGAAATGCATTCATCTCCTTAATGATTTTATGCATAAGAAATCCTAAAACAGTTCGATCTCAGAAGAAGTTTTTATTTATGGATTCTAGAACCTTAACTGTGGTACTTCTGGACTTGCATTGATTTATATAGGTAGGAAGAGGTGAATTGGCACATTTTTATTTTTCTTGGTTGGATGTACACTGGAGTTTTTACTAAAAAGATGATTTAAACTGAAAATGAAAATACTTGTAATTGTACATGTATACATAAAAACCAAATTTAAGTTTCTCAGTTTTTTCCAGTATCTTACAAGTACATAAACTTTCATTCCTGTATTTATCCTGCTTGTGGCTGTGAAAATCCTCTTTGAGGGAGACCCTAGGTACAGCCTAGTGTTCTGTGGGGTTTTGCTGGAGAAGGCTGTCTGGGGGAAGGCATCTTCTCCACTGTGCTCCTTTATGTGCAAGGGAGAGCTTCCCAAGGACTCAGCATCCACTGCTTGCAGTGTTTATGTCATTGTATCCTGACTGCAAAAGGGCATTTGGCCAGAATTTACAGTAATATATGTCCTTAGCTTTTGATCTGCAAGCTTTTAAAAAAATGTATTTAGTACAGAGTCTGTAGAGTCTACAGGGTCTACAGGGTCTCACTACATAGATCAGACTCATAGTCATTCTCCTCTTTTCTGCCAAGTTCAGCGTGCCCTGCAGGCGGAGCCTGCATGACACGCTGGGGATTTAATCCTGGGCACTTTGCTCTGCCTAAGCAGGCGCTTTACTCTGCTGAGCTATCTCTCTGGCCCTCCTGGTTTGCAAGTGTTAAGGCTGTTTGCTGGTAGGAACTAATCACTTGAAAATGTTGAACGTCATTTGTCAAAAACTCTGAAGATGAGCATTATTATACTAACAATGCAACTGTGCCCCATATGGAATGTTCTACATAAACAACAATATGTTATCCTATTGTATCTTCATTTTGTCAGTTGTAAAAATGATTGTGCCTGTTGAGATTTGCTCTGTGCATCAGTTTCAAGCTCTGCAGAGTTCACAGTTTCCATATTGCAGACTTACTTAAGAATAAAGAATCAGCTTCTCCTCCATCTCTGATTTCAACTACATCTTCAATATTTTCTAAGTCAAATTCTTGAAAATGAAGCTGTATATTTTTTCCTTCTTGTGCGTTTAAAATCCAAACACCTTATAAGAAATAAAATCCAAACAATTTGGAAAATTAAATTGTACAGTTTTTCCTTTAGTGCATTTAAATCACAGACGTCTTAAAATAAAAGCAACGCTTAAATCACAATACACTTCTTTTGGTTTCTCCACTATCTGTGTAGAATTGCAGATCGTTTTACAGATTTTTTTTAATTTTATTTATTTATTTATTTGAGAGAGAGAG